CCTTTGATTCCACTACTGCTACTTCCTCTTTCTTTTTCTTTCCCAACACTCCTCCGGTACCGCTTTGAATAGCCTGCGTAGTTGCTTTGAGTGCTGAATAGCTCATAATTTTGTTAGACTTGAGACCCTCTTCCACCATGCTTCCCATCTTTACGACCTCATTGAAAGTTTTCCCCACCGCAGACACCAGATGACCATAGTAGGTTGGTTCCAAAGCCTGAAGGAAATAATCAACCATCTCATTTTCTTTCATCGGAGGATCAACTCTTGCTGCCTGTTCTCTCCAACGGAAACCGTACTCTCTAAAGCTTTCTCCGGGCTTCGTCTCGATTTTGGTCAATGATAAACGGTCCGGGACAATTTCGAGGTTGTACTGAAAATGACATGCAAATGCTTGAGCCAGGTCATCCCATGTGTACCACCGCGCATGATCTTGTCGTGTATACCATTCTAATGCTGCTCCACTTAAGCTTTGACTAAAGTAAGCCATTAACAGCTCATCTTTTCCTCCAGCTCCCCTCATCTTGCTGCAAAATCCCCTCAGGTGGGCCACCGGATCACCATGACCATCATACAAATCAAACTTTGGCAATTTGAACCCCGCTAGCAGCTGGACATCGGGAAACAAGCACAAATCTTTGTAGGCCACACTGACTTGGCCACCCAGTCCCTGCATGTTCCTGAAGGATTGCTCCAGGCTTTTTACTTTTTGAAACATCTCTTCCTGTTCAGGGTCCTTAAGCGGCTTATCAGTTTCCACCGGGAGCTCGAAGCGAGGAGTGTAGGAATACGGCTCGGGTGCTTTGAAGGTAGGCTCGGGTGGGTAGTACTGGCTGTCGTGAGTTGGAAACAATGGCTCACTGGAAGATCTTTGCAATGTGGCAGGTGGAGGCGCCACAAATACTGGAGCAGTTGGCGGTGGAGGGCATGGAATTTGCTTGGGTGGTGGCGGCGGCGGTGTCTGAGAGGTGGTTCCGTAGTACTGCTGGTACGTCGGGAAAGTGGGAGATGAATTCACTGTGGGAGGATCTTGAGGTTGAGCTGGTGGTGGGAGGTAATTGGGGTTGGCAGGATAGATGGGTGGTGGATGTCCCTTCGACCAAGCCTGGTACATTTCGGCCATTTGTTGCTTTAGTTTGTACATCTCTTCTCTCATTGTGTTAACGTCCACTGCCTCCTCCTCTCTGGATGGGTCAATAATGCTCGCTTCCAAATCCTGATTGGCCATGTTTGACTTGTCCTTGGAACGGGTGTTGTAAGGATGGGTTGCCAGAATGCCAGTCAGCTTAAACACCTATCTGGACTCATCAACAACAACTTGATTAGCGGTTAGGGCATTAACAAATAGATAATCGCACATTGATGGGTGGATGCACCTAAGCAGTCAAACGTTTCTATTATGCCTACATGCGTCATTCCGGCTTTCATTTCTTTTCTTGCCTAATTAGTTCCCACTCTTATCCTTTCACTTTGTTTTGCTCTCCCTCTTTTGGTTTTTCCCCCGTTTGTTATCATTCCTTTCTGGTTTTCCCTTTTATTATTTAGAAATGGTCGAATCCTACGGAGATTGCCTACGTATCACGACCCCGCGTGAATCAGACCAAGCGTAGTTCGTAAAAATAAATGCAAAGTAAGAGCACGATATTTTTGGCAATTCAATTTTATTGATAGCAAACTTGTCTATTACAAAGACTCAAGACAACTAGCAGACTCTAAGAACTACAAACTCCATCATCCCTATTTTAATTCAAACAAAAATACAGACTCAATCCACTGACTATGGTAAAAGAACTACAAACCCAAATGACCTAACTCAAGAAAGAAATACAGACTCGGAAGACAAACTTTTCTTAGTAGAAGAAAG